CTTTATCTGAAGTACGTCAGCATACTTTTTGATCGTTTCTATTGAAAGAAGCGTTGATATCTGGCTCCAAAATTGTGAATTTCGGTGAAATTGTCAATGTAACAGGACAACACGCTTTTGAAAACATGTCATATCTCAATAATAAATGGTCGCATCTTTTAATTTTGATTATGCTGGCATAGAGAACATTCATTCAGAGTGTGATGAGAGCACCGGATTTGATCTCCACCTATTACCGAATATATAGACTCAATAAAGTAAATGTAAAATTTATTCTGTGAAAATCGACATGGTCGTTAAAACACACCCACAGGGCATTAGGGGAATCCGAGAAAAATAGGTTATATGTGGTTAGCAAGTCCTTGATTCAGTTTATCAGACCATCGTATTCCAAATCGTGATAATAATTGTGATTGAATTATAATGAGCATTATCTGAACATTTCTGAAAATTCACCATTTTTCTTGTGAAAAACGACCAAGATGTAATTCAAACATGGGCAGCATTCTTGTGTAAAGATGGACACTATTCAAGAAAACATTATATCCACTCTATTTTAACGAAAAGATTTTACGAAATAACCAGCACGACCCCATCTATGAGCGAATATAGTGAGAAACTGTGACAATCGACATGCGTGAAAATCGACATGGTTATACCATTGAACTCAAAGCAGTAAATTAGTCATTTGTATAAATCACAGATGGATTAATTTGATTTTATATGATTACCAATACTCTGATAACACATTTATAACAGTTTTACGGTAATTTACGCATAAGGATCAATTGATAGACATTGAAAAGATAACAGCTAAATAGTTTTCTCTTTGTTCAGCGTACCTTTTCCATTTTATACGTCTTTACAAAAATATGTTACATGCAAGCAGATGTCAAGATATTTGGAACTTCCATAAGCATAATTAACCGAAAAAGAATTACTACAAAAATCACTATGAAGACCATTGCAGCGCAAAATGTGTCAACCTCTATGAATAGTGTTTCGTTCAGTGCATTCCCGGGGATTGCTGAATGCAATCATAAAGTCTATTAACGTTTGGGATCTGTTTCCCTTTCAATGAATGCATCATTCTCAATGGTGAACAGCATAAACAGGCATCTCTAATTTGTAATATGAAAGATTTTATAGCTTTTCAACGATGTTTATTTGCTTATTATTTTTTAATTACGATCTCGGATCTACTACTCGATACATTATTACGATCTGATGTACACTATTCAGTATCCCTTCGTGAAACGTAATTCTTTGCAAAACATACAAAGAAAAACAAAAAGTAATCAATGCTCGAGAATGAAAAATCAAAAATCAAGACATGCGGTGCATAAAATTACGTTCCTCATTGAAAAATATCGCCAATTAAACTAGCATTATATAAACATAAAGCACGAGATACGCATGTGACGATAGAGGCAACAAAAGCAAGATGATTTTTCCCCTCTTCGAAAAATAAAACCGGGGGTAGATCACTAGAAATATATAGACTTCAAGAGTTTCAAAGAAAAACAAAACATCAGAAGAAACAAGTTTGATAGCGAAAGTTATGAGATGCGAAATCAGAAATCCGAAAAAGGATCGAGTCTGACACGAAAGAAATTTGTTTCTCTAAAGCGGAAATTTTAGCGACTAAAACAAAAATCTCAGAATAAACCAAAGCATAGTAATAAAAACACTTCCAGTTGCCATGGAAAACGGTTCTTGTGATAGGAACTTGGAGAGGGAGAGGGGGGTCATCGGTGAAGTGCTCCGCAGATAATGGTGTCAAGAAAAACGTCTCTACACCAGTGCAGATGATTTTTATGATTGAACTAAACGTCATCCATAATGGACTGGACTCGACATCAATATCATGTTTCAATTGATAACGTAGACTCGAGTAGAATAAGGACCGGCTTCTTGATTTGGAATATGTTAAAGGGACATTTCAGATCATATCTCGATAGATGATGTTTGTACTCCTATATGACGTAAATGGTAGTCCTGTTGTGATACATGCAGGAAAAACGTCACTACGTCAACCTGCAACTGGTTTAAGCATGCATTAAAAGCAAAACCCAAAGGAAATATTACTCAAATTGTAAAAACAAGTCAAAGAACCATACCTGGTATGTGAGATAAAAAAGAAAACATATGCCAAGGGTGTCAAAACATTAATTTGACGACATGGCATCTGTCATCCCATTGTCATTCAATCTAAAAATGTAAATCTTCGTTTCATGAATCAGTGCGATGTTTTGGTAAAGTTGGTGTGAAAAGAATGTAGAAAAGATGTGTTCAGTGCATATAAACTTTGCGGACGTAATACGTACATGTACATATACTTAGTTTATTCTCTTTGACGATATTTTAGAATACATTGTGAAACACGACAGGGTTTTGACGGAAAATTTTACATAAACGTGGTCATAATTGGATACAAATACACACTGGTTGTTTCTCAGTTCAGCTTGTTATATCCTACATATTAAAAAATGTCGATTCGTGGAGTTAGCGGTCCCTAAAGTGAACTTTCTAACTCATTGTCATTTGTTTCTAATTGTCTTGTGAAAATCGACATGCGGATGAATAGTGAACTAACCTAATGATCAATTCTTCCCAAATAAAACTGCTATCATTTTCTTATCGTCTTAAGCATCATTTTTCATGATCGCATCAATTCATGTTTCAATAGACGGTCAAGCCAAGTAACTTAGTCAACATTCGATATTCGTATGTTCATCAGTATTAACTAAGAATAGTGCCACAATTGAAGTAAACCTCTGTTTAATTATTTTCAATAAACCTATCAGCAAACGTGTAAATGATAAATTTGATGTTCTGTTACATATTGGTGAAGCAGTCTTTGGGATATGGCCTAAATTTCTGAATTTCCACTATGTCCCTGTATACCCCTACTTAAAAAGATGTATGTTATTTGTCATTTTTCATTATGAATCAACCATAAATGCATTTTTTCTTGTTTACATACAGAATGAACTTTTTGTTTCCAAATATTGAAAGATGGTACTGCATTTATTTTCTCATGATATGGAGGAAACAAATGCGTGTCAATTTACACTGTAATATCCCACATACTTATATTTCAAGGGTAATTTTGAAGAATAATCAAGAAAATCCATGTTTTCTAATGAATTCATCCTTGTCAAAGAACGTAAATGAGGATATGCGGTTTGAAAAACTAACAACATGTTTTAAGTTCTTACAATTCTTGTTTAAAACAAACATTTCGAAAGTTGTGATTTCGAATGTAATATCCGACTCAATGAAATTTGTTGATATTTGTGAATTTTTTCTTTCGGAATGCACATTGCTGGATCACAGAACCTTGCCTTGCTCGAGATGCACAGAAAGGGTATTGTTAATACTTGACGTCGTTCAGATATTCGGATGTGATTGACGTTTTCGTTAATCTCCAACCACTGTAACTTCCAACTTAATTTTTGAAAGTCAAAAATGATAATCATGAATCGATATTTAAGTCACACGTGGATACATACATCATGTGTCTACATTAACTGTCGAATAAATGCCGACTTACATTTATTTAAATATACATAGTTAACTCAAATCATCAATTCTCGAAACGGTTTATCATATAACCTGACCCGAGTTTAATGTTTCATTTTAATTTATAATTATGGTATCGGATTTGAGTATGATTTTAGTTGAGGCTTAAACAAAGCAATAAAATTGCGTGAAACCTTTTGTGAAAATTCGAACGATTTTTCAAGAATCCTCCTTCAAAGTGTTACCACAGTGCTCCCCGGGAGTGGAAATTTCGTCTAGTGTAATCAAAATAATAGCGGGTGGTTTGAATTTTTGTTTGAGTTTATAGCTCAGCATCTATAAATTTAAAAACGTGTCGTCTCATTGAGAGGTACATGCAGATTTTGGCGATCTATCTTTATAAAAGGCTAAATTTTGTGCAAAAACAGGAGTTGACACGCTTACATTTGGAATTGAAATTTCCTACATAATTGTCGACTCATGTTTAAAAGTCATGAAAACAAGGTTGAACACAAAATAATAACCTAGTTACTGTATATTTAGCATGGGATCACTGAGGGAAATATTATTAATGACTTAAATCGTTAACAGTTAAGTTGTATTTCAAGAAACTTATCAATTTAGAAATGCAAAATGTTAAATTTTGTTTTTCAATTATAAAAAATGGCACCTGTAGAGAACAACGTTTACAAAATTATTTAAAACGGAGATATTAACTTATGTAACATTCGTTGGCATGTGTCAGGGAGTAAATAAGAAGAATATGCATTTGATTCTATATCTTGTTCCCAAAGGAGTTTGTTAAGGAGCGGTATATCTTAACGTACTTTTATCATCCCGAACTCAAATATTTCGAATCCTTATTTCAACAACGCTTTGTTGAGAATGGATTCAGGATGTACTCAAAATTAATACGTTAAAAGATGTATTGTCATCTTAATAACCAACTCACAAATTATTTTGGAAATCAAAGATGTACGATTTTTGAGATTTTTATTTTCGAATGTTGACTTAGTTACTTGCCTTGACTGTAGAGTCGACTTTTTCAATTTTATTCAAATGAAAAACAAAGGGGAAGTTAAAAATTGAGAAAAACGATAGATTTTATTGGTTCATGTTGACAAAGCGATGCACATCAAAAAGAAAAGGCTTGCAGTCCAAATCCATTTGCGATTTTAAAGGACAGTTAAGTACCATGAGGAACGTTCTTGGTTTTTTGAAAATGATGCATTCTAATTTGAATAGATTGACACATTAATCAGGGGGTCAAGGTGTAAAAATCGACATGTTTGAGACGGACCCTAATTTCAATTTGAAAATTCGCCTATTTTTCCTTGGAGTTTACTTTAATGCCTTGGATAACGAATGTACAAATGTTTGAAGATATATACTATATATCTATTTGAAAAAAACATTTTAGGATTTTTTTCACTTTTTAACAAAATTAATTTTACACTTAAGCGGTTTTGAGTGTTTTACGATGGATGTAGACCAGCTGCAGGGTGACGTAGTGAAGTCTTTTCTGCATGCAAAGCAAACAGCAGGGCAACCATACATGTTCATTCCAAATGACATTAACGCCATTCAATCATGCATCAGAAAAGTCAGTTTTAAAGATTTCAAATTTAAAGAGAGACTTTTTCATTTAAAATATTTAAACAGTATCTCTACTTGATTGTACGTTATCATTTGAAAGATATAAGGATGATATTTCTGACTTATTTAAGTCTGACGAAGCCAAATGATAAAAATCATCTGCACTGTGAATATGAAATTTTCTTTTGGTCTGCGGTGCGCTTCATCGATGTCCCGATCTCATCACACTTTTTGGACATTTTTCATGGCCACCGAAAACGTTCTTATAGTTATATGTTTTGCTTCATTCGAGCTAAGTCGCCAGAACGAATTATTTTTGTCAGACTCGATAATTTTTCAACAGTTTCTGATATCTGATCACAAAACTCTCAGCATAAACTTAATTCTTTCCTGCGATTTTCAGTTTTTCATTGACGTTCTGGAAGTTTAATTTTCGGTGCAATGGGTTACCCTGGTTTTGCTTTAGAGAGAGAGAGAACCTTGAAAGAATTAATCTCGCTTTGTTGGCTACATTCTCGAAGCGTGTATTTTGTGTTTCTGATTTCTTTTTGCTAGTCGGTTGGCGATATATTTCAAAGAGGAGTGTATTTTTGAATTGCTTGCCATACATTTTCTTTAATATTCTCGGGCATAGCTTAGTTTTTGCTTTTCTCTGTCTCTTTTCCAACGAATTGCGTTTCGCGAAGGCATATTGAATATTACAGATCATATACAGATCGTACAAATGGAATTCAAGGAAATAATAATTAATTATAACACAAAAACATCGTTGAAAAGCTTTAATATTTCATGTTACTTAATTAGAGTTTTCGGTTTATGCTGTTCTCCATTAATAATAATTGCATTAATTGAAAAGAAAACAGAATGCAAACATTAGGGGACTTTATGATTGATTTCAGCGATCCCCGGGAATACACTGAACGAAACGTTATTTACTGAGGGTTTACTATTTTTGGCTTTAATGGTCTTCATATAACATTTTTTGTTATGACTTTTCCGATAAATTATGCTTATGGAATATCTAAATAACTTGTCATTTGCTTGCATGTTACGTATTATTGTAAAGACGTATAAATTGTAAAAAGCACATTTACAAAAGGGCAAATTCGTTAGCTGTTATCGTTTCCTTGTCTATAAGTTGATCTTTATGCGTAATTACTGAATAACTGCTGAACATGTGTTTTAAGAATATGGGTCATCATATAAAATTAAACCAATCCATCTGGGATTTATAAAAATGGCTAATTATTGCTTTGAGTTCAATGCTAAAACCGTGACGTTTTTCACGCGTGACGTTTGTCACAGTTTCGCACAATATTAGTTCATAGATGGGGTAATGCTGGTTATTTCGAAAATCCTCTTTTGTTATGATGGAGTGGACATATTGTTTTCTTGGAAATTGCCTTATTCCCATCAAGACTACTGTCAATATATGAGTAACATCACGGTCGTTTTTCACAAGCAAAACGGTGAATCTTTGAGAATTTTTCAGATCATGCTCATTATAATCCAATCACAACTATTATCACGATTTTTGACACGATGGTCTGATAAACCGAACTAAAGACTTGATAAATACAGATAATTTATTTATCTCGAGTTTCCCTACTGCCGTCTGGGCCCGTTTTAACGACCGTGACGTTTTTCACAGAATAAATTTTACACTTACTATAATGGGTATATATAATCGGTAGTAGGTGAGAAGCAAATACACTGCTGTCATCACACTCTGACTGAATGTTTTCTATGCCAACAGAACAAAAATGAAAATATGCAAACATTTATGACTGAGATATGACATGTTTTCACAGGCGTGTTGTCCCGTTTCATCAACAAATTCACGAAATTCACAACTTATTCGCGAGTTATCAAAGTTATTTACAACCGGAATGATCAATAAGTATGCTGACCGAATTAAGATAAAGGCATTTTATTTTAAAATACATAAAACAATAAGAAAAAATCATTTTTGTTTTGGCTATTTTCAATTACATGAAATATACCCATTTTTAACATTTATTGGTTTTGAATGTATTTACACAGCCAATATAATTCGGTACCGTTTCGGCATCGAAAAACTACTTTAAAAAATTAAATAATGCTCCATATATTTTATATGAATTATAAATATTTGAAGATGTATTTCAATTGGTTTTGCAGTTTTCTAAGGCTTTGTATATATAATATAGGCTTGGTATAATGATAACATGTGATGCAATTGATGCAAATATTGCTGTATACATCAGTGCAATTGGGGCCGATTCCCTCCTTATATCAACAAACTGGCTATTTAAGTCCAAATGCATTTTTTGAAGCATCTCTCTAGTGGTGCCATTTGGCATGTATTTTGTAATAGTAGGTTGGTGTGATTCTACTGAATACTGAAAAACTCTAAGAGCGTAGACATCATATCTGACGCGTGTCGGCCAGGTGAAGTTGAAATTATAATCACCTTCTGAAGACAAAGAACAATTTCTCAAATCACACATCACAGACGAACCAGAGTTGTAGTAATTTATAACATTGTAGTTCTTCTCACAAGCATAAAGCATACATTGTCTCAAGTCTCTGACGTGTTTAACGTGCTCACCGATCTCACAACTTGACTTAAAACATAATTCTTTAGACCTTCTCAATTGATACATCGATGAGTTACAATTAGGTGTACCGGGATATGGTAAGTTTAGCCATCGTCTCTCACTTTCTGGTTTAAAACATTTTTCAATATTATAATATTTCCAGCCTGTCCCTTCGTCATTACTCTCACACTTAAACGCTAAATTCCCAGACTCGTGAGTTTGAAGAGAATTAAAACCTGCCCTGCAAATAAATTCAGGATTTTGATCATTAGTAATGAGTGTATTCTGGAACTTTACCACTCCTGTGCATTGGGGAACGCCTGCTGGAATCATTACTGATTCATTCCAGAAAACAGTGTTACAAGGCTGGGTGACATGGGAAAGGCTGTAAATATGAACATGTTTCGTATTAGTAGGGACAATTTTAAAGTTATAGTCGTCTGCGGCAACATTCCATGAACAGTGCATAGTTTCACAACTATGTTCTTTGATGTCAATAGTGTCCGTCTGTAGTGCATGGATGTTAAAAGCATTAGCCTTGTCATGACACGCTTTTATCTTGCATTCTTTAAGATAGCCTACATTGTACGTTTTTATCAGAAAACATTTTGACTTGAAGTTTGTATTTCCAGTCCATGATCGTTTTACAAAATAGGAGTTCTGGCATCTTGGATTTGCGGGATGCGGTACTGCATACGTCCGGCCATTATGAGGGTATTCTGGGTTTCCCCATTCAAATGTCCAGTCGTTAATCTTGGCCCGACAGTCGAAAGCGTG